GAGGAGCCAAGGAGGATTAGAAAAATATAATACGTGCTGTCGCACATGGCTTCGCAAATTCATGTCTTGATGCACATGGCTACCTCTGCTGCCGGCGTCGCTGTTGCAAACACGGGAGCAAAACCGGGACACCACCATTGGTTTCGGCTGTTGTGTGAAACGTCTGGCCAGTAAGGATGAAAACGGTCGAACTCGGTCGAAAAACTCCTCAACCGTTTTCTACTTTTACATTTGAAATACGAAAGCGAAAGCGAAAGCGGACAAGCCGGACACGAAAACGAATACGAACTTACGGAATATCTAGAATTTCGGAAACGAACCAATTCGAGCGAAATTATGTCGAACATGGCCGGTATGCGAAAATTCAATACGACCAGCAGCACTAAAAGCAGGAGAAAATTCCTTCAATCTCTCTCTTTTTCTTTTTTCTCTTCATTTTCCTTTTCTTTTTCTTTCCTTTTTTATTTCTCTTTCCTTCTCCCCTTCTTTTCTTTTCCCCTCCTCTCTCCTTATCCGATCGGCCTCTCTGTCCCTCTCTCTCTCGGGCGGCGTCCAGGCCATCACCCGCGCCCCCACCTCTGGTCCTCTGCCCTCCACCTTCGGCCCCGCAGCCCCACCTCCCATCGGCGGACGCCACCAATGCTGCGCCCCGCCCGCCGCCGTCGATCCGCCCCAAGCCCACCGCCGTGGTCTCCGCCGGCACATCAGGCGCGTCACGCCGCCGCCGGTGCTCCACCTGCCACCAGGGTAGCCCCGCACCCATGGAAAGCAAGGCAGGGCAGGGCAGCGGCAGCGCGCGGTGCAGGGGAAAGGGGAGCGTAGCAGAGGGGAGCGGGTGGCGGTGGCGCGGCGCTCCGACAGCGCGGCAACAGCGGGTGGAAGCAGAGGCAGGGGAAGAGGAAGGGAGAGCTCCCGGTGGTGCGCTGCGAGTGGCGGCGGCGGCGAGCTCCCGAGGGTGACCTTCGCTTGCTGGACCAAATTCGGTTCGAACCGAATTTAGAATACGGAAGACTCCGAATAAAATGTAGAAAACTAGAAATCGGTCGAACAAAGCCTAAACCGAATTCGATCCGATTTCGAATTTAGTATTCCGTATTTTGTCCAAAAATACAAATTCGCTCGGGTCAAATGTAGAAAACGATGCGGTTCGGTTCATGATATTTCCTTTCCATTTTCATCCTTACTGGCCGCATATGCTTTTGATCCAAGCTCTCCGATGCCACTTCAATAGCACGAGCTGCATGCGGAGTACTCCCTCCTCCCCCCCCCAAGAACTTTGAGGAGTTAAACCGACCAAATATCTCCTACTACAACTAAAAAGAACAAAGTGTGGACATCGTTTTGGTGCGACAATTGCCTTGGTTCATCCGTCTGCCACCCCATGCGATCGATCCCACCTCCCACGCTGTCCAACGGGCGAGCGAGAAAAGGAAAGGAGCGAGCGAGAAAAGGAAAGCCCGCGATTTGTCTCCTTAATTGAATATTGCATGTTTACAAAATAGGAAGTAGAAAATTATTGTGCTATCCATATACACATTGCATGTTTGCATGCACCAGCATACATGGCAACGAGCAAAAGGAAAGAGAATTATCACAGAAGGAAAGAAAATTAAGACAAAAGAAAAGAGAGAGACTGCTATCAATCCTCTGCTATAAATCATGTGGCCTCGCCATAGCGCCCACCCTCGCCAGCTTAGCTCGCCCTCGCTCGCACCGGCCTCCGCCCTCGCGCCCTCCCTCGCCCATGCTCTGACTTGTACATTTTGATTAATTGGACATTATCTTTCCACGATTTATTGACGAATATTTAAACAAGATGCTCATAGATTAGCCAAACAAGCTTGACAATTTGCTTCTCAATTTTGTACTTCTACCTGTGAAAATAACAGTTATTCTGGTGTTTCTATAATGTATTAGGACAGTCACAATGCTATACCTATTAATTTTCATAGACACTACATATAGAAATCATGGTCCTAATCAGTGTTTTTCTAAACGCTAAACGGTAAACAGTCGGTCACCTACCGTTTAGCCATTATTCGGACAAAACGTCCCATTAAACGGGCTAAACGGTCAATTAAACGGGGTAAACGGGTAATTGAACGGAAACGACGCACCATCGTGTAGCATTTACACGGTGTTTAAACGGGCTAAACAACCGTTTAGGCAAACAGTGGTCCTAATGGATAGTTTCTACAGTACAATTTTTTATCCAACTACATACATTCTCTTTCCATTATTTACCAATCACATCCCTTCATGTCTTGGTTCTCGTGTAGACATGTTCCAAGAATCTGATATGTGTCATGATTTTAGAATTACATGCTACTCCTAGGGCTGGATGATGAGCAGATGGTTTCTTTATGCCCAAACTACTTGCACGGAGCAGTGAGGTCCTAGGATCATGCAACGGGGAGGTTGTATAGTTTGAAGAGGATGGTTTAGAAGCAGAGCTTGTTGAAATCGAGCATGGAATGATGCTTACATGGTGTTGAAAACTTTAGACATTTAGAGGCTGGCTGGAACTGGATGGTGCTCGGGAGGTAGTAAAACTGACAGCCATCGCGCCTAAATAAAGAGTTGACGATTGACTTTGTGAAGCAAATTTAAAAACCTTTGTGTTATAAGGGGCAAAACTTGAATTTGTGGTTTCTGAGTAGATAATTTCTCCTTGTGAAAGTGTTTCTAACTAATTCAGAGTGGACCAATGAATCTACGAAAAATTACTTTCTCAATTCCAACTTATATGACGCTTTGGCTTTTCTAGATACATAACTTTTTTTATATGCTTAGATATACATAATTAAAATAATATATCTAGAAAAATCAAAATATCTTATAATTTCGAACTAAGAGAGAAAATTCCAATTATTATTTTATAGTGAATTAGCTTGTACCCAGACACAATGCATGAAAATGATATATTTTGAAGTTTACATTGGACATCATCATCTTAAAAAACTAGGAAGAATCAAATGTACAATTATGATAACCTCTAATTTACTTTTATCCGTCACTTGCAATAATAATACCTATGTTTTAACCATTTCTATATATTGCTGATGGTGAATCTTGCCATAGACACTCAAGTGGATACCTTATTCTATAATATATGTCTGTGTGAAATAGTCCTAAAGCCACACATATTTATACGGTGAGTATAACATACTTAAGGTATTATAAGAGATTTTTTCAAGACACGCAGTATTAACCATGTAACAGGAATTAATATTTATATATATACTCGAACTTGTGTACATGATGGTATGAAGATGTGGCAAAACTTATTTGTGGATTTATTGGCGTACGAAAGAAATAGATATGCGTTGGAAAATATAATGATGATGATACAAAGTGTGTTGCTCTCTGCAGCAATGACAATGGTGCTCCTCATATTCATCTTTCTTGAGTGATCCACAGGGGGGAAAAAAGCATCCGTAATCAATGTTATTTTGTTAATTTTGTTCTGCAATGTTGGAGATTGCTGAGAAGAGGATGCTGTTGTCTTTGTCTAAGCTCCGAAAAAAAAACTCTGGCCTCAACTAGAGTGTCTTTTCCTTCAAGCGCTGGGCAGTGGGGTGCCTGGGCCATGTTAACCGAGGGCCCAACAAGAAATGCCACATATGCTCGTCGTAATTAAGCCCAAGAAAAGGTTGGAAATTCAGACATGCATCGGCATCGGCCTCGGGCCTTGGCATGGCCTGGCACATCCAGCTTGTGCAAGTCTATTTTGTTTTTGAAAAAATACTCACCTCGGCCATTTTAAAATTACTCTAAAGTAATCCTCAATCTTATCTTAATCTAAAAAATCCACCACTGCCATCATGTAAAATAACTTAAAGTAACCCCTTAGTTTTCATCTAAATTACTCATATATTCCAATACGAAAAGTAACACAAAAGTAACTCCCTAAAATTTGCATCTAAATTTCCCACCTCCACTATTATTGAAAATAACCTTATGTAACACCAAATCTAGATTACTTACATAGGCCATTATAAAACAAATATTGCAATAGACTCCCATAATATTTTGAAATTACTTGTTTCTATCATTGTTAATATAGAGAAAACAAACTCAAGATACACATGTGTGAGACATCTCACTATATATAGACCATATATGTATATGTACAAAGCAATGAGCATGTTGATTTAAAGCCAAATGCATAGCTAAAGCTAAGATTTGAACTAAAGACATGTCGCGCATGCGTGAATGTTCTATGCAAAGATGTAAAATGTGAATAAGGGCGTGAAAAGGCATATAAGATAATTGGTAACTAAATTCAACCATAAGCAGATAAGTATAATAAGGAATTGTCAATACAAGTATGCTATTAGAATGCATACACATGAATGACTATTAATTGAACACACATGGATCTGTGATGCAAATAGGAAAACCATGAACAATGATCGAAAAGTAGAATATGAACAAATGAGAGATAGTGTCAATTAAACATATGTGAACACATATTGAGGTGCGATGCAAAGTGGACAACTATAAACCATATGCAAAGCAATTAGTAACTAAAATCTATCACAACCAGATATTGATAAGAAAATACCTACATGAGTACTGTGCTACAATATGAACAATATAGAGACAACAAAGACAAGCTATAACAATAGCTTGCAGCAAAACATCAACACGTTGGCATTGAGAATACAGGGTTTAGATCATACATACATGATGATCACTTTATTTAAGAAATTAGAGTTCAAATGTTCTCATGATTATTTTCAAGGAAATTATATCATCCTTGTCTTTCAAGCAAATACACAACTCCTCAGAAAAAAATGGAAAAATATAGTTCACATACAAACTCTCATGGTCGTTTCCAAGGAAATACATGACCCATGTTATTAAAGTACACTTCACACAAAATCAGTCAAGATCACTTTCGAGGAAACATATAAACCTTCTTATAAAAATAGAGACAAATATTGTTCACACATAAACTGCATCACTTGTGGTTCATCTGCCTCTTAAATTTGATTTTAGACTAAGAACCACAAATCTAACAAGCTCTGCGAATGCTTGTAATCATCTTGTTGAGTGGGACTTGTCTCTTCAGTGCTTAAACAACTCATATCTACCTGAAATATTGATTTCATATATAGTAAATAAGTTGAAATGCAAAGGATGGATCAATCATGTAAAGCACTATCACAAGATTAAAACATGAACTGCCATCCAGGTAGATGATATATTTGTTTCCCTCGGTGCTTTGATCAATGGCAATTGGGATCTAGGATGATTGGTGCCAAATCTACGCGGCTGCCTTAATCTTCTACGATGGTGGTGCTTAAAATTACATATCAATTTTCTTAGGAGCATAAATGGAAGGGATTAAGAGACGACGCACATACTCATGCTTACACAATATTATATTAACGTATTATTAGGATAGCAAAACACAAACCAACCACTCATTATTTCCTGCGAGCAGCGGAGTCGCGGCGACGCGGGCCAATAAAGAGATGATACGCAGTGCCATTCGAAGAAGAACGATGACGTCGCCTTCTTCACGTACGAGGAGAAGCGGAAGCTCGGGTATGGCACGCAGCGGGAACGCCTGGGAGCCCTTCACCTTCGACTCCTGCTGCCTCACCCCGACGCGCGGCCATGGTGGCCCTCCCCCACCCGGACGACAGCAGCGGTGGCCTTCCCTCACCGTGACGGCCACCCCAACCTTCGGTGGTGGATCCATGGAGCACGAGGCGAGATCCACTCGCTTGAACGACGGCGGGCCTCCGGCCGCTCACGGCGCCTGGACTAGTGGCCGCACGGTAACTTCCCCGTGCCTGTGCTGTCTCCGCGTTCTCATTCTTCCCTGACCACGGTAAGGCCCCCAGCTGCTGTTTCCTCTGCTCCTCCTATTTTCTGCCCTTCAAGTGCTCAATGAAATGTCCAAGACGAGTCTGCTTCGTAATTTCCTTTTTCCATTCGGTCAGCATCCTCACGGTGCATCCATCGTGGCCAACAATCTCCTCACACTTCCCAACAAACACTCCTGGATGCTCTTTCCTTCTCACTCAATCTGGTAGTTTCCCCTGACCTCTATGCATGTTCATATATAGCCAAAATATTTCCTAGATTTTACTGTAATTTTCTATTTTTTGTACCAAAATTTCCCCTGCTCCTCAGAATAAAAAAAACCCAGAAATCTTTACGGTACATTCTTATTGTTTGAATGAAGTTCATATGCAGTGGCATGTACCAGATTGAAGTTATATTCAGTGTCGATGGGTAGAGAAGGATGCTTTCACTAAAGTAACTTATTCTTCACGGATGAGTTCACTGTTCAGAGTTCATTCCTGCTGAATGATGAGTTCAGCTCTTTCAGATCCAATCTAAACCTACTGAATGTTGTGCAGATATGGAAGAGAAATAGTTTCATGTGAAATATGGAGCATTATTGATATTCTACAACTGAATTGTTTTTGTCAACTGATCAGATCAGGACCTCTCCTTTTAATGTGTGGTATGAAGGCTTCTATGTCAGATTTGAAGGAAATGGAATTGAACCACCATAAGATGTGCTCTTCAAAAGGTAGGCCTACTAAATTGAAGTGCCATGATCATGTGATGTGAGGAATTGCACTCTGATTTACTATTTCAAGAATTATTCGACGAAAATATATTATGACACAATTTTTGACTGCCCCAGTCAGTAAATTGTACACTATTCAGAAATGTAGTGATCCTCAGTGTTTCAATGCTGCAATTAGTACCTGTTCGCATCCACAATTCCTATTTCAATGGTGTATTGGTACCTTTGTACATCCACAAAATCTGATTTTACATAAGCCGACCATTATTTACAAAAAGACAACCGCTTTCAGCCTTACTTTGACGACACTTCCCTGTTTAGGTGATACCTGCCTATGTTTGTTTGGTTGCTGCCTTTAGTGTGCCAATCCCTTCTTTTGCAGTGATGTTGTTGTACAGTATTTCCAGTGACATAAAGCAGACCAATTAGCTTCAGGTAAAATCTCATGTGTAATCACCTTTTATTTGAACACATATATACACAGTTACTGATTACTACTTTGAATTTATTTGATTCTGCATTAACTATACCCAAATAAGAAATCCATGTACAACATAAGAGATAATTGCATAATGGGGCTTCCAAAAAAAGGCTTATATGTCATGTGGTTCATAATCGGATTTGAGTTGACGAATGATTTTCGAATATGAGAAAATAGAAAATGATACCACCTTGGTAAAAGGCATGAAACTGAGTTGTCATTTCTCAGTTGCAAGGACTTATGTCTGTCTTTCCTTACTACGGCATGGTTTTGTTCATTGTTTTTCCCCATTTGAGGCTAACACACTTGAAGTCTTCAACACTATTGATGATTTTTTATCCATATCAGAGACACATATCTCCAGGATTTGATTTTACTTTCTGTGACTTTTCAATTATGTCAGCGACAACTTTCATTGAACCATTGTCTGTAATTGAGTTTGTTACACAGCCGCTGAATTCTGAAATTCACTCCACACCACTCTCAGACGCAGAACAGGTGAGGTGTTCTCAATGAACTTACCTTTCCCTGATATTTCATCTCATAGGGAGAACCAGTGTTCAAATGAAATATCGTGTATTGCCTTCAAGATCAAAACGTATAATTCTCGATGGTTTGAATCTAAAACTGTTTGGACATAAAAATAAGAGTGCATGAACGTAATCTGTGCATTTCCTTTTTGGTACAATGGAAATAGGGGTATGTCCACGACAAACCAAAAAAAAAAGGGCAGACCCAGTGCGGAGGCTCCCACATGAGTGGGGTCTGAGGAAGGGATAAACCGAGACAAGCCTTTCCCCCGCAAAAATCTACGGAGAGACTGCTTCGAACCCACGACCTGGTGACTCAGTGAGACAGCTCTCACCACTGCACCAGGCCTACCCTTCTATCCACGACAAACCAGTGCTCTGTTTTTTTTTTCTTGAGGTTTACATATAGTATAATCTTTCACACTGTTTGTCCTTAGGAGTGCTAATAGAAAGTCATTAATTGTGTTTTACTCTTAACTTTTTGTAACCAGAATTGGAGTATGCTTTGTATTGTTGGCTTCGCTTTGACTGAACAAGGTATTCCCAGTAATGACTTTTTTGAAGTATCTGTTTATGTAGCGTAAAAGTAGCCGAAGAGACATGTAATCAAAAAGTACTTTGCAACCAGTCTGTTGACTACTACCTCTGAGTGTATTTGCAATTCATAGAATAGTTTTTCTATTTTCGTTATTACTAAAAAAAATGTTAAAGCAAGAGACTATCTTTTGTGTATTTGCCATGCACAGAATCTTTAGTTACACAAGGCTCTGCCTGCATGCAGAATTTTCACCTGTCCAAAATTTTACTACTGCCATGTGAGATAGATGGGTCGATCATCACAGGAAATTACTGCATTGGTCTACTGATATGTGTGAACTGAATTCCTGCTGGCTTTTTTTTTTTCTGAAACTCTTAATGTGCATACCATCAAATGATGCAAGTTAGTTGAAGTTTGAGATTTATATCACTCACTGACATTCCATCCATTCTCTTTTACTTGAATTACAAGATGTGACTGACCAAATGGCCTTATGCGTACACAGGTTGTGTAAAAGGATGTGCCAATAGATAATGAGTTCTTCATAAAAATGCTGCTGGAAGGATTGAAGTTGAAGCTACACAGGAAATTTGTTCCCAAATTGGCAGCTTGATAAGGGGCTCAAATTTCTAAAGGACAAAGACGCGTGATATATACTACAGGTACATAGAGGTCAACAATATCAAATCAAATTGTTATTTTCTCCCTAATTCAAGATAACTGAATGATTCAGAGTGTACATCATTATTACATCAATAATTATTTTGTGTAGCATATAGAGAAGAAACGCACACAACATTCACTACTGACATAGTGATGTCAGGTCTTTGTATTGCATTAGGTTGCTGAGGGTTTTGTGATTTATTATACCATACATTAGCTGCTGAATTGTTATCCTTCTATCATCACATTTGACAACTAATAGGTCCTTTGGAAAACTCAGATGGACTAAATACACTACTGATGGCATTGATGGGTGTGTTCTACATAGAAATCTTTCCAGACTTTTTTGGCTAAATGTTTAGCTAATAGGGGCATGCCACATTGATTGTGAGTGAATACCTATTATTTTTATTCTGAGTATGTATTTCTTGACCTTATGTCTCTTGTACTAACATGGTTGAGTAGCAGTAGTTCACATATATACTCCCTCCGTCCCAGAAAGAAAGTCGTTATGAGATGCGTGCAGGTCAAACTTTCTCAACTTTGACTAGGTTTGTAGAAAATGCGTACAACATTTATATATTTAAATAAGTGTGTTATAAATATTAATATTCTTAAGTTAAAAAAAGTTGATTTCTCGGAAAGCGAGAACAACTTCTCTGTTGGGACAGAGGGAGTACATCCTAAGTATCTATTTCTTGACCTTACGTCTCTTGTACTGACATGGCTGTTGCATCAAATTATTGTCTCAATTACTTTTTATCACCGTAAAAGTTCTTATTTCCCTAACACAAGTATTTTTTCTCTCTCCACGCACGTGCCTGTCCACTAGTCTATTTGAAACCCAGCAGTACCTTCAGTTTGCACATTCAGAGTTTCAACACAGAAAAAACATGCATGTATGAACTATGCATGCACATGTAAAAACACATCCTTTATACATACTGACACGTATACATGACAGTGAACCGTGATAACTAGATAGAGCAATAAAATTTGGAGTGTTTATACATGCAGATTGGTATGGACGTACCTGCTGGGTTGGAAGGATTGGACAAACAGAGCTATCAATTCCTGCGCTGGAGTTTGCAACGAAAATTATCTAGTGAATCATCGTGATCGCCGTCCAGCTGGAGTTTGGGGAAGGAAAAATAAGCGCGGGTAGTAAGTTCTATAATCAAAGCTTAGGTTTCCATTAACTACTGAAAATTTTTAATCCAGGCAGCTACCTCCGTATCGCGATGTTTTTTAATGTGGTGCTGAAGCTGAGAATTGCAAGGAGCAGAATGCAGTATACAACATACAGGTCAGTAAGTAGTACCCACGAACATGTAATATAATTAAGAGAACGTATTTTTTTATCAGACTAGAAGAGACAGCCTCACCCGAGCCTCCCGGTGTTCATCAGATAACACATTTTCTTCATATACTCGATCCATTTTCATGGTTGGATGGTTGGGATGATTTTCCATTGCACGCGTGACCATGGCCTCCACCTCCTGCACTTCTGAGGCAGTAGCACCCGTGCAGTTGACTCTGACCGTGACTTTCTCAAGTGAAAGGAGATTATCCAGGCCCAATTCAAGATCTCCAATTACATGCTTTGTTGGGAACTGCTCCAATGGCACACCATCTACGTGCCAACTCCAATACCCTGCCAAAACTCCAAACCGCAGCTCTTCAAGCCTTGGCATGGCGCCCATATGAAACTTGAGCGCTGTGCCCACATGGCAGAACCTCAGATTCCTGAAACCGTCCGTACCAACAGTGTACCCTGGAGGCCAGCTGAAACTGCCTAGCTCGAGGTAGCTCAGCTCTGGCAATCTCACTAGGTTATCTAGGTCATGTACTTCAACAACATACACACTGACAGATAAGAAGGAGAGGCGTGGCAGGCGGGAGCGATTGATCCACCGAGGCAGCCGTGAGAAGGTGATACCTTGTATAAGCAGGCGTAGAAGCTGCCTAGGTGCCTCCCAGTCTTCCCACACAGTGACTCCCTGATGGAATGATCCTGTAGGAAAAAGCTCTAGTTCCTGGAGTTCTAGTAGATTGCAAAGAGACTGCACCAATGCATTTTGCAAACTGTCATCTAGTACCTGGGAGAAGGTGATCGTGACGACCCTCAGCCTCGTCAGCTTGCCAAGCTCTGCCACTAGGCCCTCGGTGGCACTCCGGCCGCCAACTACGGTCTTTAACTGTAGCTCTTCCAGGGACGTTAGGTTCCCCATCCTCTTTGTTGGGAACTTTTTGAACCCAACAGCTACCAGGCACATCAGCTGTGTAAGTGAACACACGGCCGCTGGTAGCTCGTCTAGGCCAATATCGATCAGTACCAGTGTCAAAAGAGACTTCAGATTCCCGAGTTCCTTAGGAAGCTCATCAACAACTGTGTAAGATATATCTAAGTACTTGAGATGCAACAACCTCCCTAGATGCTTTAGGCTGATCGGGACATGGCAGTTTTGTAAATTTAGCACACGGCAAACTCTAAACCTTTGAAGTGGGGCCATAATCTCAATCTTACTATCTTCAATGTGAAGCGACCTCAGAACCTCTGGCATGTGCATGGTGCCTTCAGGCAAGTGCTGCACATGGTGATTTCGGACAGCCAGCCGGCGTACCTTGCTGTCCGAATGAGGCATGCCTGCTTTCTTCTTATTTCTTAAACTGTCCGATGAAGCATGTTGATCTTTGCTGTCCAAAATAGTAATAAAGTTTTCAACGCCCGACAACTTACGGATAAGATCAAACACAACATCATGAATACGGAAATATTGTGTGAACCGATAATATGTGTCGTCCATTGGTTGGATCATGCTTCTATTGACAAGCTCATTGAAGTATCTTTCTCCAACCTCAAATAGGCTACCCTCCTCTTTGTCAAGATGGATAAAACCTTCACCTATCCACATCCAAATCACACTCTTTGTATCAATGCCAGAATCTTCCTGAAAATTGCTTAGATGCAATATGCATGGCTTTAGATAAGAAGGTAGATCATAGTAACTATACGACATTATCTTCATTGTATTATCTCCATTCCCAAAACCAATTGAGTCATACACCTTTGACCAGTGCTCACATGGTCTTTCAACCAATAAACTAGCTATTGCAATGATAGCCAATGGTATACCGCCACATTTATCTATGATTTTACTAGACAATTCACCTGATACACCATCAAGACTTTCTCCTTTCTGACTCTGTATTCTTTTGTAGAATAATTTCATAGAGTTTCCATCAGAAAGTGGTTTTAGTCTGTAAACCTCTTCTACTTTCGTGACAACCTCAAAATTACGAGTAGTCATGATGATTCTACTTCCACAATTATTGTCCCTCAAGGCATATCTAATCGCTTCCCACGATCCAACATCCCATATGTCATCAACAACGATGAAGTACCTATAATTGACACAAGAGTGTAGAGCTAGCTATCAATAATTTGGCAAATCTGTATAGAGTATCCATATAAAGTACATGCACGACAACATCGATCAACACGATTCTAGCAAGGAAAAATTCCAACCCACTATTTGTTAATTAATTTAATTTGTGCTATAACTTAAAGATCCAATCTATTGATTTTGGAAATTCCATAGATCTTTCTAGATGTTTCACAGCAAATTTGACTAACATTCACCAAAACTGAAATTCTTCATAATCATTTTCACCGAATGCCTAGGCCTACGGCTTGGTGTAGAATAGGAATGTATAAACCGCTCATGCTCTGCTAGTGAATAAAAACATTGAGCTGAACTAAACAGAGAATGACATAGACATACCTCTTGTGCTGTAAGAATTCGTGCAGTTCGTTTCCGAATTGCTCTATATCCCATCTGGCCATGTCGACTTGCTTATACTTTTGATCGAGTTCCACTAGCATCTTCTCAAATGTCCTGGTCAGATTAGGAGTCCTACCAACAGAAATAAAAGCAGAACAGTCGAATTGTTTCTTAAGAATATCATGCACTGTTTTGGCTAGAGTAGTCTTGCCCAATCCTCCAACCCCAACTATAGACACTATCTTCAGGTCCCAATATGCATGAGCATGAGTATCATCTTTGGTCCCTATAGACATCATCCTGAGGACTTTGTCCCTTGACACCTCGATGCCAACGAGTTCCGACTCTTTCTTGTACAGATTAATGACACGAGGGTCGATACCGCAGCTTGCGGCGAGATCAACACCCGCGGCCCTAACCATGTACTTGGCATGGAGCCCAGCCAGCTCGTGGGAGAGCTTCTTTATGTGTTTGACCGTGTTGAAGAACTGATGGCGATGCTTGCCCTCTTTCACTGCAGCGGTGGCTTTGCCAAGGATCTTCTTGAAGATGTTGGCGTCAGTGGCATCAGCTGCAGACTCGCAGCCGGCCACGCGCAGGATGAAGTCATCGACAGCATCCTCCATGTCGTACGACAGCTCCCGGACCCGCCGTGCCCAGAGCTTTTCCACCTCAGTAAGCTGGTCCGGTGGAACCCGAGACGCGTCGACGAGGGCGGCGTTCATCATCACAAGCTCTCTGGAGAGGGACTCGATGTTGGGCTTCAGGCCCTTCTGCATGACGTACTCCTCCAGGAGCAGCTCCGCCAGCTTGGGGGCCAGGCTGGCCATGGCCCCTAAGGCGAGATCCATGGTTAAGCTCGATCTCTCGGTCACACTCGCTCTCTGTTTCTCTTGCTTGCTTGCATTTGTAGATGCTCGTTGGGTGCATGGCAACAAATGGCGAAAATAGATGCTATGTGGGAGAGCGATAAAGATGCTCACTGCTAGTTTATTGGAGTTGGTGCGGACCGGAATGGAAGATGCTGTTGAGTAGGACAAGAGAGCAGGCGGTTTAATATTAAACTTTGATTCGTGGATAGGATCTTCGACGGCATCCTGACTACGTCCAACACCGAGGTGTTGGAAGCGCTCTTTCCATATGGTGGAGAGGGCTCGTCAAGACAACCACAAAGGCACAAGGCCGCCTCGTAGGTCACAACGCTGCGTTGGTTTTGGTTGTTTTCAGTTTATGTAATATCGAAATTAGAGGTCCTTTGCTAGGATGGTCCAGCTACGACTGTTTTAGGTCGACCTCTTTCGGCGCTCGATAGAAACGTGTCGTCTGTATGTTTAAACTCCTCTTCTTAAGATAATGATACGCAAACTTTTTTGCATATTCCAGAAAAAAAAATTAGACCTGTCGGTTTCTCAAAGTAAAGGAGGATTAAAAAAAAATTGTGCCACGACAGGGTCCAATGTGGCCCTGTCGCCCGTCGCCGTCACTGATGCCGAGACAACTATGACCAAACGGGGCGCCACTGGTTTCGGCCTTTCAGCGTTGCCGGCAGGCCCCAAGCCTTTGTTCACACATTGTAGTTCACGAATTCAGCTGTCTTCACGCACATGCCTACCTGCAAAGCACATCTTGATTTTCTGAATCTAAAATAATGGAAAGCTGTAAGACGTCGTCCCCAACGAGCGTCGGTAAAAAACTGCCCGCTAGCGACGAAACACTCACTACCAACCTTGATTCCCTGAGGCCCTGAGGGAGGCTGTTCCTGACAAAAGCGTCAGCATTTTCCTCAAATTCAGCCACCCCAAATTCAGCTTCAAGTTACCGTGTTGACATCTTCAGCTTGGTGTTATAGGCTTCTTTTGGCTACGCACGTCTTTATGGCTTTCTAATCATCTTGTAATGTCTAGTTCCAGGCTTACTGAAATAATTTTCCTACCTTTGCAGCGAGTTCTTTGGAAAAGCCTTCTCGCTCAAGTTCCCAACGCACTGAGCCATATTACAGTCAATTAGAAAATGCTCTGTTCCCTGTTCCACGCCTAGAGCCTCTAATGTTTTTTTTGTTTGGTCCAAACCAAGCAAAGCCTAATAGCCACTAGACCCGTTTGGCTATCAGGTCCATATCAATCCTGCTCTCACCGCCGCTGCTGCAAGCCCGCAACACATGGCACGTACAGCATGGTTACGCGCCATGTCACACTGTGATCCAATGGGGGATTTTTGGGGAGCGATGATGATAGTCCCCCATTTGATTTCCCTTGCGAGAAGGAACACCACAGTATCCACACTAAAATCTATCACAACCAGATATTGATAAGAAAATACCTAGATGAGTATTGTGCTACAATATGAACAATATAGAGACAACAAAGTCAAGCTATAACAACAGCTTGCACCAAAAACCCACACGTTGGCATTGAGAATACAGGGTTCAGATCACACATACATGATGATCACTTTATTTAAGAAATTAGAGTTCAAACGTTCTCATGATTATTTTCAAGGAAAATATATCATCCTTGTTTTTCAAGCAAATACACAACTCATCTCAAAAAAAAAAAGGAAAAATATAGTTCACATACAAACTCTCATGGCCATTTTCAAGGAAATACATGGCCCATGTCATAAAAAATACACTTCACATAAAATCTACAAGATTACTTTCAAGGAAATATATAAACCTTCTTATAAAAATAGAGACAAATATTGTTCACACTTGTGGTTCATCTGCCTCTTCAATGTGATTTTAGAGTAAGAAGCACAAATATGACAAGCTCTGCGAATGCTTGCAATCATCTTGCTGAATGGGACCACTCCTCAGTGCTTAAACAACTCACATACCTGAAATATTGATTTGCATATATAGTAAATAAGTTGAAATGCAAAGGATTGAGCAACCATGTAAAGGAAAATAAAACCGCAGAATTTCTTCAAGCAGAGCATAATGAGATAAGGTGGTTTTGCCGAGGAATACACCTAATCCAAAACAATTCAATCTAGAAAAAGCACTATTACAAGATTAAAACATGAACTACCATCCAGGTACATGATATATTGGTTTACCTCGATGATTTGATTAGTTCATTTAACTTAAAATCATCTTAGGACATATCAAACCAATTAACCTGTTAAAATTTATTCTCCAGATATTAGCACACTTTTTATCAGGGCTGCCATAAGGAAATCAGTTTGATTAGCATACGTGGTGCGTTTCAGTTGGTTAGCTATTCTTTTTTTTTTTATCTGCGAATCAACTTTTAATTTGTACCAAACTTTGATGTCTACTAACTGAAACAAGAACAACCAAACTAGCTTGAAAAAATTGGATACTTTGTTTAATAAAAGAAGGAAACTGAGCGTACATCCAGTAACCGAAAACTCATAAAATGTCTAAAAACTGTTGGTGATTATGTTCTAGCTAGAATGCTGGTGCCGAAAATTTTCTTTCGAGAACTTGCTGAGAACGTTTTTCATTAAGGAGAATCAAGAATACAATAAACACAAGAAAAAAAAAAACAACACAACAAGTAACATGAACCACCCCCAACCCACAAGGATGATCAACGGCAAACAAGCGCCGAGAGGCCCTTGTACCCTGCCATCATCCATGAGCTAATAGCATCATCTAGGATGATTGGTGCCAGAGCAACCGGCTGCCTCATCTACAATGGCGGTGCCTAAAATTACAAATCAATTTTCCTAAGAGCATAAAAGAAGGGGATAATTAAGAGATGCACATACTCATGCTTTCACAAAATATAAACGTATTAGGACAGGAAAATACAAACTGTTCGGACACAAACATATGAGCCGTGGAGGCTGAGTACCCATCCTACCAGAAAAGACTAATGTTGTGAATCATATCAGAAATAATCTACAGGGATTATGCAGGAAGCCTTCGTCGGCGCCCCCTAGACAGGCGAAGGCTCAAGGACCACGGCGAAGGCCCCGAGTGGCGTAGGTTCGATGCAGGGCAAAGGCAAATGCCATCATGGCAGAGGCGGACAGGAGGACCCAGGAGGCGGCAGGAATCAATGAGGGCCTCCGCCGAATGAAAGGGGATCTCCCATGGCGCATGGATCCTAAATGGCAAATGGGCCTCCAATGGGTGTGGGATAAGGCCCATAGAGCAAGGCGGTTGGTGAAGGAGGAGACCCGAGATGCCCTCGGAGGTTTGCTTATGTACGGGAATATCCCAAGAATATGCTCGTACTGCCTAAGGGCACGTTTGTAAATGAACCTCATCATGCACAATGGCCTATAAAAGGGGGGAGTGAACCCTATGTAAAAAGGGAGGTTGTTAAATGCTATTTATGAAACCCTAATTGTGTTTGAGCCCACCTAAGTTCTCATCCTTGCATTGAGCCTTCGCCCAAGCGGAGACTCTATCTCTACTCACTCTGTTGGGATCCGTTATCCCAACACAAACCGACCACTCACTGTATAAGATCATTGTTGGATACCCATTTTTCTTTGGCATTGGGATTGTCTATGCAGCATTATGTAATCACTCAATCTAGTATTCGGAACCAAGTACCTTCAATTTGCACATTCAGAGTTCCAACACACAGAAAACATGTGTGAGCGTGCACATGTAAACAACCAACTGAGCATGCACATGTAAACACACATCCACATACTGACACGTATACATGACAGTGAATCGTGATAAACTAGATAGAGCAATAAAATTTGGAGCAATAAAACACATCCACATACCGACACTTACCTGCTGGGTTGGAAGGACTGGAGAAACAAGAGTTATCAATTACTGAGCTGGAGTTTGCAAAGCAAATGATCGTCGTCCTGCTGGAGTTTGGGAAGCAAAAATAAGCGCCGATGGTAAGTTATTTAGTCAAAGCTAATGTTTCCATTAATAACTACTGAAAAAAAATTCAATCCAGGCTGCTACCTCTGTGTCGGGATGGTCAGATGAGGAGACCATTTCGTCGGTGTTTGTTCTGATCAGATGGATAGTCGGATGATTACGGTGAACCTCGGCTGCATGCCTAAAAGCTGGTTCCATTTTCTCCACCTCACACAGGCTGGCACCCGCACAGTCGATGGAAATAACGGCTTTCTGAAGAAGTCGGTACGACTGCAGGTGGGCGATGAACCTAGCATCAGGATCATCCTTCGACCGGAGCACACGGCAACGTGGTTGAAATGTTGCTGAAGCTGAGAATTGCAAGGAGCCGAATGCAGTAAACAGGTCAATAAATAGTACCCACGCAAATTAAACGTATTTTTTTAATAGATAGGGACTCACCAGATCCTCGCTTTTTTCGTCAGATAACATATTTTCTTCACCTGCTCGATCCACTTTTATAGTTGGGCGGTTGGGATGATTTTCCACCGCACGCGTGACCATGGCCTCCACCTCCTGCACTTCTGCGGCAGTAGCACCCGAGCAGAAGACTGTGACGGTGACTTTCTCAAGTGAAAGGAGATTATCCAGGCCCAAGTCAAGATCTTCGATTTCATCCTTTGTTGGGAACTGCTCCAACAGCACATCATTTACTACCCAACTCCAATACCCTGCATAAACGCTAAACCACAGCTCTTCGAGCCTTGGCATGGCGCCCATAGGAAACTTGAGCGCTGTGCCCACATCACAGAACCTCAAATTCCTGAAGCCGTCCTTACCAACAGTATACCCTGGAGGCCAGTTGAAACCCCCTAGCAGGAGGTAGCTCAGCTCTGACAGTCTCGCCAGGTTATCTAGGTCCTGTTTTTCAACAGTATACACGATCACAGATAAGGAGCAGAGGCAGGGCAGGCTGCAGCGATTGATCCACCGAGGCAGCCGTGACAAAATGATGCAGTGTATAAGCAGTTGACGGAGCTGCCTAGGTGTCTCCCAGTCTTCCCACGCATTGGCTCCCTGTTGCGCTGATCCTGTAGAAGGAAGCACTAGTTCTCGGAGTTCCTGCAGATTGCAAAGAGATTGCACCAATGCTTTTTGCAAGTTTTCATCTAGTTCCTCGGAAAAGGTGATAGTGGCCACCCTCAGCCTCGTCAGCTTCCCAAGCGCTACCACCAGGTCCTCAGTGGCATTCCGACCAACTACGCTGTCTAGCCGTAGGTCCTCAAGGGATGTTAGGCTCCCCATCCTGTCAGCTGGCAACCTTCTAAACCCAACAGCTACCAGGCACATCAGCTGTGTAAGCGAACAAACAGCCGGTGGCAGCTCGTCTAGCCCTGTTTTCTCTAAGTACAGTGTCTGGAGAGACTTCAGATGCCCAATTTCCTTAGGAAGCTCATCAACAGGTGTGTCAGATATCTCTAAGTACTTGAGATGCAACAACGTCCCTATATGCTTTAGGCTAATCGGGACGTAGCAGTTTTCTATATTTAGCACACGGCAAACTCTGAAGCTATGAAGTGGGGCCATAACCTCAATCTTACTATCAAAAATGTTAAGTGACCTCATCACCTCTGGCATGTCCATGGCGTCTTCACGGATGCGTTGCACATGGTGATTTTTGACAGCCAGCCGGCGTACCTTGCTGTCCGAACGAGGCATGCTGGTATTCTCTCTCCTTAAACTGTCTGGAGATGCATGTTGCTCCATGCTTCCCAAAAACGTAACAAAGTTTTCATCTCTCGACAACTTGCTGATGAGATCAAACACAATATCATGAATAAGGAACCATTGTGTGAACCGATCATATCTGTCTTCCATCGTTTGGATCATGCTTCTATTGACAAGCTCGTTGAAGTATCTTTCTCCAGCCTCAAATAGGCTGCCGTCCTCTTTCTCAAGATGGACAAAACCTTCACCTATCCACATCCAAATGACACTCTTTTTACCATGGATATTATCTTCCGGAAATATGCTTAGGTGCAGTAGACATGGTTTTAAATAAGAAGGTAGATCAAAGTAGCTATATGAGAGTATCTTCGTTGTATTGTCTCCATTCCCAAAACCAATTGAGTCATAAACCTTTGACCAGTCATCATATGGTCTTTCAACCAATAAACTAGCCATTGCAATGATAGCCAATGGTATGCCGCCACACTTATCTATGATTTTACTAGACAATTCATCTGATACACCATCAACACTTTCTCCTTTATGGCTCTGTATTCTTTTGTAGAATAATTTCTTAGAGTTTCCATGAGAAAGAGGTTTCAGTCTGTAAACCTCTCCTGCTTTTGTGGCAACCTCAAAATTACGAGTAGTCATGATAATTCTACTTCCACAATTATTGTCCTTCAAGGCATATCTGATCGCTTTCCACGATTCAACATCCCATATGTCATCAACAACAATGAAGTACCTATAATTGACACAAGAATGTAGAGTTATGAATAATTTTGCAAATCTGTATAGTCTATCCATATAAACCTAGACGCACGATAACATCTACATGATTCTAGCAAGTAAACATTGCAACCCACTCCATGGGAGAGGAATATTTGTTAACCAATTTAATCTGTGCTACAACATAAAAATCCAATCTATATAAATTTGGAAATTCCATAGATTTTTCTAGATGTTTGGCCAAAACTGAAACTTTTCATAACTGAAATTCGATTAACATTTCGTCAAAATTGAAATTTTTCCTAACTGATTTCACCGAATGAACCAAATGCCCATGCTTAGGGCTTGGTATAAAATAGGAATGTATACACTGCTCACACTCTACTAGTAAATAAAAAACATTGAACTAAAACCGGACGGAGAATGCCATGGACATACCTCTTATCCGTTAAGAATTCATGCAGTTCGTTTCCAAATTGCTCTATATCCCATCTGGCCATGTCGACTTGCTTATACTTCTTATCGAATTTCACTAATATCTTCTCAAATGTCCTAGTCAGATTAGGAGTGCTACCAACACAAATAAAAGCAGAACAACCGAATTGTTTCTTAAGCATATCAAGCACCGTTATGGCTAGCGTAGTCTTACCCAATCCTCCAAACCCGACTATAGATACTACCTTTAGGTCCTGATCAGAAGCATGAGCATGAGCATCATCTTTGGTCCCTATAGATAGCATCCTGATGACTCTGTCCCTTGACTCTTCGATGCCAACGAGATCCGACTCTTTCTTGTAGAGATTGAGGACACGGGGGTCGATGCTAGTGCTCGCGGCAAGATCAGCTCCCACGCCTCTAACTGTGTACTTGGCACGGAGCTCAGCCAACTCGTTGGAGAGCTTCTTTATGTCTTTGACCTTGTCGGAGATCTGGTGGCGATGCTTGACCTTCTTCATTGCAGCGGTGGCCTTGCCAAGGATCTTCTTGAAGACGTTGGCGTCGGTGGCGATTGCTTGAGACTTGCCACTATTAGCCACGCTGCAGGATGAAGTCGTCGACGGTGTCCTCCATGTCATACGACGACTCCCGGACCTGCCGTGCCCGAGCTTTTCCACCTCCTCATCGAGCTGGTCCGGTGGTACCCGAGACGAGTCCTCCGAGAGGCTTTCATCATCACAAGCTCCTTGGAGAGGGACTCGATGTCGGGCTTGAGGCCCTTTCGCACGACGTACTCCGCCGTGAGCAGCTCGACCAGCTTGGGGGGCCAGCCGGCCATGGCCCCAAGGCGAAGCTCCATGCTCAGCTTCGACCGCTCAGTGGAGTGCTCTCACACTGTCTCTTTTGCTTGCTTGGTACATGCTCGTTTGGGTGCATAGCAACAAATGCTGAAGCTAGAGATCTACGGTAGTCCCACATGCGCCAGGCCATTTAAAGCCTAGCAATATGACGTACGTAGAACGTCATGTTACAGTACGCGAAAGGGTCAACCCGAAACCAGCCCCTATTCGGATTCCAAGTGCGTGTTTAATTCGCGAATTTTGAGAATTTGGCTACTGTAGCACTTTTGTTTTTATTTAGTAATTAGTGTTCAATCATAGACTAATTAGGTTCAAAACGTTTGTCTCGCAATTTCCAACCAAACTGTGTAATTAGTTTTTTTTCGTCTACATTTAATGTTCTATGCACGTATCGCAAAATTCGATGTAATGACTACTGTAGCACTTTTTGAGAAACTTTTTTTTTTTTTTGACTAAACAAGCACTTTGCTGAAGCAGATGGAAACCGGGTGAGTCCCCGTCAACGTCAACTCCTCCGTTACTCCTTGCATGTGACGACTGACGCGTGACAAAGGAGCACACAATGCATGCCAGACGCGGTGGACACGGTCCTTGTGACGTGCGCTGTCTCCTACCGCCGCTTGACAAATCACCAATCACGCGTCTATGAATTCATTAATTACTCGCTCGTACAGTACGTATCTAGTACTCCCTCCGTATCGGTAAATAAAGTCGTTTAAGGGTGCGGTGTCGTTTGCTCAAATGAAGTCGCTTTAGTTGCGCTAAGCTAGTTTTGGACGTGAATGCCCTGACTCCTCGTTTCCTAATGCGCTGATTCATTCACGGGATCGGAGTAAATTGCGCCGCGGTCCCCTTCCTTCCTTGCTCGCTCGCACGCACGGGGTCCGGGAGCGGACGGACGCGCTCGACGGCTGCCATCAGCTCCGCGCCCGCCATCGTCGGACTACGCCGCGCCGCTTCCTTCCTTGCCTCCGCTCGCTGCACGCTTGGACGCCAGGCAATAAGCCAATAAATCGCACGTCCGTCCAACGAAGTCTCGGCGGAGGCCTCTGTCGCGTCCATGCAATCGCTGCATACTCCGGCACTAGGAACACATTGCTACTATTTCTTCGATCTATGAAACGCACATATGAAAAAGAAAGAAGATGCAAAGATCACGCATCTGTGAAAACAAAATCACACGTAGCAACTCGGCACAGAGCCATGCAAAATCATGTGTCAAGCCCTGTCAAAAAAAAAATCACACGTCATGCAAACATACAGCTCCAGTGATGGATCGAACCGTGGCCTCCCGCATCGTGCCGGGGCGCGCTAGCCACTAAAGCTATGCAAAAATCCACTCTAATTAATCACTCTTTGTATGCTAAATGCTGTCCAAAACGACCTTAATTACCAGTATGGAGAGAGTAGCTATTTGGCCCGTTACATGAAAAAAAAAGTTAGAGAGAGTAGTCAACAATCTGTTACACGTAGTCTAAGAGTATGAGAGAGGAATATATGGATCCAATAGTATATAGAAAAATAAGAATGTACTCAGTATAAAATAGTCTTTGCTTTTGTCTCTCATCTCCACATAAGCTGGGTAGGTAGCTAGCACCATTGCGGACGCCCTAAATGTCCTGGTGTAATTCGTACCGGTTAAACCTGAGAAAATTTGATTAAGTTTGTAGAAAATATTAGAAACATTTGTATTTATAAGTACATTTGGTATAAAAATAGATTCGTCGACCTATCCATTTTACACCCGCGTTGTGTTCCTCGTGCCCTGCCTGCCCGCCCCCACCTTCCTCGCTCACGCCCCCGCCAGCAGCTCCCTCAACGCCGACCGCGCCGCCCACTGCCTACCCTCGCCGGTCGAGCCCGCCCCCCTAAACACAAGGCAGTGTGCCAGCGACGTCCTCCTCGTCCTCGTCCTCGCCCCCACTCCCGCTTCTCGACCCCGCCATCCCCTAATCCTAGGGCAGGACACCGCTTTTGTTTTTTTTTTATTTTAATTTTGCAAATTTATGTTTCATGAATCAGCCAACAGAACAGGGCACCTGTGTTCGGAGCTTCCCCCGCGCCTGCCTTCCATTTCCTCGTGAGGGAGTTTGGACTCGCACGCTCCTACCTCTTCCGATACGTTCCGCGTGAGCACGTGTGCCGGGGCCGTTCCCCGCTAGCTGCTGCCCGCATGAGGGACTCCGCCGCCTCTCTGATGGACGCGGCCACCGCGACGGCTGGCGAGGCGGCACCACCACCATATGAACGCATGGCCGCCACACCGCCCATCCTCTGCGGCGACGAAAAGCATATACGGTGGACGTTTGGGAGAGTCCACGATGATTCCGCTCCACGGCAGGCTCTCAGAAAAGACGAAAACACCTGCTATGTTAGGAAACTGGAAAGGAAAATTAAGTAAGTTCTAATCAATGACTATTTTTCATTACTTTGTGGTGATTTTTCTAGGCCGATGGCTGCGTTTTGCAGTAACAAAATGCGCAAACATGTGCTTCAGACAAAGTTCATAGCAAAAGCATTGCTTTATACAAGATTCAGCACAGAGCATTAGATTTATTTAGAGCAGAGACAAATCAGAGCAGGCTGCTGTACACAACGTATTCTAGGAGTTCCTGAGTTTCTCAAGAGTACATCAGCCTAAGACATCCATAAATAGACTCCATTAATTTTTCGAATGCTAGATACATCAGCCTTCAACCAATCATGTACATCTCCGCCGACCAGCTCTCAGCATCTCGCTCGCATGTTAATAAGCTCGACAAGCCTTCTCGACAAGCCATATTACAATCAATTAGAAAATGCTCTGTTCCTGGCCTGTTCCACGCCTAGAGCCTGTAATGTTTTTTTTTTGTTTGGCCCAAACCAAGCAAAGCCTAATATCTGACAGGGATTTTTGGGGAGCATGGTCACACTGTGATCCAATGGGGGATTTTTGGGGAGCGATGATGATAGTCCCCCATTTGATTTCCCTTGCGAGAAGGAACACCACAGTATCCACACTAAACTAGCACTAGCACAGACACAGTGCTCTGGCTCGGTTTCACCCTCGTCTCAGTATCTGACAGGGATGGTCCATGTTGCATATATTGCATCCTCTTCCTCTACCATGTGCTGCTTTTTGGCAAGTGCTAGTCCATACATAATTGGTGGTGAACATTTTCAGAATCTCACTCAGGCTGTTGTCTGACCTTCTCCGTCTCCAACAAGCAAGAAAAACACTACTAGTGAAATTCTCGTCTCCACCTCGGATTTTCTAAACACAAGGCTGCTTTTGCCAAAAAAAAAATCATATACAGACCTTGTTGTGACATGCATTCCTGCGTCAACTCATGAAACATATGAAACAACCAGATGAGACACTTGCAACAGAAGTATGAAACACCCGAAACACTTGAAACATATGCTTGCAACATGCATGTATATGCAACGTCCAGATGAAAACACTTGCAACATACGTCTGATACAGATGAAACATTTAGAACATACATTTGAAACGTACGTGTATAGCCACTGCAACATGTGCAACACTCGGATCTACTTTTGCAACATCCTAATCTACTTTTGCAACGTCGATAAAAAACACTTGCAACGTGCCTCTGAAATATCTGGAACACTTGAAATATACGTTTGCAAAATGCTCTTTCAATGCAAACATCTTCTTGTTGCTTCGGCGAATGGAGGCTCATCAGCGCATGGAGGTCACTGGTGTGCTCACCGGCAACGCGGAGCTGTAGGCGGCGACGCACAGAGGGCAGGTGGGTGGCGCGTGCAGGTCACTGGTGTGCTTGCCGGCGGCGCGGAGCTCACCGGCAACGCAGAGCTGGGCGGCGGCGCACAAAGAGCGGGGTGGGGGCGGCACGGGCGATGGTGCCGCAGAGGGCGTTTCTGATTTTGAAAACTTCTAAGGATTTCATAACCCGTTGGAAAAATCTAATAATGATACAAATCTGTCTTGAGTCATCCACTGGAAAAAAAAAACAAGCTTCCGTAATCAATGTTCTTTTGTTTATTTTGTTGTGCAATGTTGGGGACTAGCTGTAGCAGTCTAAGAACGAATACTGTTGAAGCAATGATTTGCCTCCAAGAATGTCCTGAGAAGCTAGAGTGGTAGCTTGCATCTTAGTATTGTGGTCTGAAATTTGAGCTACATACATACTTTCTTTTGTTGCCGAAATTAAAGTGTTCGTTGCTCTTCCCTCCGTCTCTGTGGACCGTCCAGTACCATTTATTTTCCTTGTTCTTGTGTTGAAACTTGCTGGTCTTCCATTACCCATCACTGATGTCTTAGCTGCTTGCTTCCATTCCATAGATTAAAAAAATGTTTGCAAAAATAACATTATATCTTCGTCTTCCCTCTTTTTTTCGTTCAAAATTTTGTGAAGCTGAGTTTAATTAGTCTATGGGCTAAATACATGTTCTTACAAGTTTACAAATTTTCGACAATTGTGGATCTTGGGAATGATCGTATGAGAGATTGTTGACAAGTGGTTTACAAATTTTCGATAATTCTGAGGAGGCTCCAGTTCCGGCCACGCGCAGCGGGTACGTGGGCCATGTTAACTGAGGGCCCAACAAGAAACGCCGCATGTGCTCGTCATAATTAAGCCCCAAAATAGGTTGTGGCAGAGTTGTGCCCGCATGGCCCGAAGAGAACAGAACAGAAAATTGCTTGGACCTGGAGAACCTAACCTTGCCTTCTTCAGGGAAGCTGTCCGTTCCTGACAAAAGGGTTGCACCAAACTACTCAACTAACCCGGGGCTAATCCACGCTGTAGACTGCACGGACTCCCTGCTGCTGGTGCCTGCTGTTTGGTTAGCCAAAACCAGCCGACCTACATGCAGATGCAGGGACTGTGTCGCAACACATCGTTCATTTGCAAGCAGTGCAGAATGGAAGCACGCACTCCCTCCATCATCATCAACCAGTTCACCATCGTCATCATCGTCCCTGATTGAGATGAGACCCTGATGATCCCATTAAGTGACACAGGCAAATCCTGAATGTCACGTGTCCAAAAGAATCCTGAATCACAGCCAACCACCCAAACATACGATTTTCCATTATGTTTCAATATTCAATAACGACAGGTCACTATATATTCTGAATTGCATAATTAATAAAACTAGTACAAATACAGCAATGGTCTTTCATTTTGGGATTGGGTAATTTTTTTGGCGATTATACAAACAAGATCACAAAAAGCAAGTATTGCCACCCTCAATATTAATTCTCGCAAACTCACGTTTAAAAAATATAAATCATAGAAATTCTAAAAAAAAAACAACTCATTATCAAGAGTATTTGGTATACCATAATCGTCATTGTTTTAATAGCCGACAAGTCTTCTGTTTTTCAAAAGAAAAAAAAGCTACTCATCTCGGCCATTTTAAAATTACTCTAAAAGTAATATAATCCCCTCTAAATCTTAAACTAAATAACCACCACTGCCATTATGTAAAATAACTTAATAACCCCTTAGTTTTCATCTAAATTACTCATATATGCCAATATGAAAAGTAATACAAAGTAACTAAAATTTGCATCTAAATTTTCCACCTCCACCCATATATGTATATATATGTAAAAAGCAATAAGTATGTTGATTTTTAAGCCAAATACATAGCAAAAGCTAAGATTTGAACTGAACACTTGTCGAGCACATGTCAATGTTCTGTGCAAAGATGGAAAATACGACTAAGAGGGTGAAAAAATACATAATATAATTAGTAACTAAATTCAATTATAAGCGGATAAATATAGGAAGTGTCGGAACAAGTATGCTATTAGAATGCGCTGACACATGAAAGACTATTAATAGAACACAAGCCAAACGACATGGATGTGTGCTGCAAATAGGAAACCATGAACAATGATTGAAAAGTAGAATATGAACAAATGAGAGATATTTTCAATTAAACATATGTGAACACATATTGAGGTGCGATGCAAAGTGGACAACGATAAACCATATGCAAAGCAATTGGTAAAAATCTACCATGACCGGATGTTGATAAGAAAATACCTACATGAGTATTGTGCTACAATATGAACAATATAGAGACAACAAAGACAAGCTATAACAACAGCTAGCTTGCACCAAAAACCCACACGTTGGCATTGAGAATACAGGGTTCAGATCATACATACATGATCATCACTTTATTTAAGTAATTAGAGTTCAAATGTTCTCATGATTATTTTCAAGGAAATTATATCATCCTTGTCTTTCAAGCTAATACACAACTCATCTCAGGAAAAAATGAAAAAATATAGTTCACATACAAACTCTCATGGTTGTTTCCAAGGAAATACATGACCCATGTCATTAAAAATACACTTCACATAAAATCTATCAAGACCACTTTCGAGGAAATATATAAACCTTCTTATAAAAATAGAGACAAATATTGTTCACATATAAACTGCATCACTAGTGGTTCATCTGCCTTTTCAATGTGATTTTAGACTAAGAACCACAAATCTAACAAGCTCTGCGAATGCTTGTAATCATCTTGTTGGATGGGACTTGTCTCTTCAGTGCTTAAACAACTCACATTTACCTGAAATATTGATTTGCATATATAGTAAATAAGTTTAAATGCAAGGGATGGATCAATCATGTAAAGGAAAATGTAATCACATAATTTCTTCAAGTAGATAATGAGATAAGGTGGCTTTGCCAAAGGAACACGCCTAATCCAAAAACAATTCAATTTAGCAAAAGCACTATCACAATACTAAAACATGAACTGCCATCAAGGCGTGTCTATACACATTTTCATCTGGCATTGGGATTGTCTATACACATAATAGCTGGATACCCAATTGTCTTTGGCATTGGGATGGTCTATGCAGCATTATATGTAATCACTCAGTCTGTTTGGAACTTAGTACCTTCTGTTTCCACATTCAGAGTTTCCAACACTGAAAACATGTATGTATGAACCAAGCATGCACATGTAAAAAACACATAATGACACGTATACAGGCAGTGAATCGTACGTGATAACTGGATAGAGCAATATAATTTGGAGTGTTTATACATGCAGACTGGCATGCACGTACCTGCTGGGTTGGAATGATTGGACAAACAGAGTTATCAATTCCTGAGCTGGAGTTTGCAAAGCAAATTATGTAGTGAATCATCATGATCGTCGTCACCTGAGGGAAGATCAGGATTAGAGAGGAGATGGGTTTTTAAGAGGGCCTGACGGAGGCGTCGAGACGCACCAGAGAAGTCGACGCGGGCAACTTGGACGGGCGAGGCGCTGCTGGGAGACGGGTCCTCGAAGTTCGGGTGCTCCTTTTCAGCCAGCCTGGTGCTGGGCCTCAGCTTGCGGGCGCTACCAATCGCACGTTTGCGGCGGGCACAGCGCTTACGAGCCGTGCTCTCATGATGTTCCTCCGAGCCGGCGCCAAAGGAGAAGACAAGCGCAGTGGAGCCAAGCTGAGGAAGGTCGTGGCGCCTGTCGTCAATCTGGAGTTTGCAAAGCAAACTATTTGGTGAATCATCCTGATCATCGTCATGCTGGAGTTTGGGAAGGAAAAATAAGCGCCAGTGGTAAGTTATTATATAGCTAAAGCTCTGGTTTCCATTAACTACTGAAAAAATTTAATCAGGCAGCTACCTCTGTGTTGGGATGGTTAGATGAGCAGACCATTTTGTCAGTGTTCGTTCTGATTGTTTGCTGAAGCTGAGAATTGCAAGGAGCAGAAAGCAGTATACATGTCAGTAACAAGTAGTACTCACAAACATATAGTTAAACGTATTTTTTAACAGACAGGAAGAGACAGCCTCACCAGAGCCACCCTGTGTTTGTCAGATAACATATTTCCTTCATATGCTCGATCCACTTTTATAGTTGGACGGTTCGGATGATTTTTCACTGCACGCGTGACCACGGCCACCACCTCCTGCACTTCTGCGGCAGTAGCACCCATGCAGTCGACTCTGACGGTGACTTTCTCAAGTGAAAGGAGGTTATCCAGGCCCAAGTCAAGATCTTTGATTTCATCCTTTGTTGGGAACTGCTCCAACGGCACATCATTTACTACCCAACTCCAATACCCTGCATAAACGCTAAACCGCAGCTCTTCGAGCCTTGGCATGGCGCCCATAGGAAACTTGAGCGTTGTGCCCACATGGCAGAACCTCAAATTCCTGAAGCCGTCCTTACCAACAGTATACCCTGGAGGCCAGCTGAAACCGCCTAGCTGGAGGTAGCTCAGCTCTGGCAATCTCGCTAGGTTATCCAGGTCATGTACTCCAACAGCGTACATGCCTAGAGATAAGGAGCAGAGGCGTGGCAGGCGGGAACGATTGATCCACCCAGGGAGCCGCGTGAAGCGGATGCCTTGTATAAGCAGGCGCCGGAGCTGCATAGGTGCCTCCCAGTCTTCCCACACAGTGTCACCCTGCTGTGATCCTGAAGAAAAAAGCACTAGTTCCTGCGGTTCCCGCAGACTGCACAGAGATCGCACCAATGCTTTTTGCAAGCTCTCGTCTAGTTCCTCGGCCAAAGTCATCCTGACCATCCTCAACCTCGTCAGCTTGCCAAGCTCTACCACAAGGTCCTCCGTGGTACTCCGACCAACTACGGTCTCTAACCGTAGCTCCTCTAGAGATGTTAGGTTCCCCATCCTGTTAGCTGGGAACCTTTTGAACCCCTGAGCTACCAGGCACATCAGCTGTGTAAGCGAACAAACAGTCGGTGATAGCTCGTCTAGCCCAATATTGATTAATACCAGTGACTGTAGAGATTTCAGATGCCCCAGTTCCTTAGGAAGCTCATCAACAACTGTGTAAGATATATCTAAGTACTTGAGATGCAACAACCTCCCTAGATGCTTTAGGCTGATCGGGACGTGGCATTTTTGAAAATTTAGCACACGGCAAACTCTAAACCAATGAAGCGGGGCCATATTCTCAATCTTACTACCTTCAATTTTAAGTGACCTCAGCACCTCTGGCATCTCCATGCTGTCTACAGGGAAGCACTGCACATGGTGATTTTGGATAGCCAGCCGGCGTACCTTGCTGTCCGAACAAGGCATGTATGCTTTCTTCTCATTTCTTAAACTGTCCGGAGAAGCATGTTGCTCTCTGCTGTCCAAAACAGTAAGAAAGTTTTCAACGTCCGACAACTTACGGATGAAATCAAACACAATATCATGAATACGGAAAAATTGTGTGAACCAATTATATTTGGGGTCCATTGGTTGGATCAAGCTTCTATTGACAAGCTCGTTGAAGTATCTTTGTCCAACCTCAAATAGACTACCCTCCTCTTTCTCAAGATGGACAAAACCTTCACCTATCCACATCCAAATCACGCCCTTTGTATCAATAAAAGAATCTTCTTGAAATTTGCTTAGATATAATATGCATGGCTTTAGATAAGAAGGCAGATCATAGTAGCTATATGACACTATCTTGGTTGTATTGTCTTCATTCCCAAAACCAACTGAGTCATAAACCTTTGACCAGTCCTCATACGGTCTTTCAACCAATAAACTAGCTATTGCAATGATTGCCAATGGTATGCCGCCACATTTATCTATGATTTTACTAGACAATTCACCTGATACACCATCAAGACTTTCTCCTTCCTGGCTCTGTATTCTTTTGTAGAATAATTTCTCAGAGTTTTCATCAGAAAGAGGTTTTAGTTTGTAAACCTCTCCTGCTTTTGTGGCAACCTCAAAATTACGAGTAGTCATGATGATTCTACTCCTACAATTATTGTACTCCAAGGCATGTCTGATCTCTTTCCATGATTCAACATCCCATATGTCATCAACAACAATGAAGTACCTATAATTGACACAAGAATGTAGAGTTATGAATAATTTGGCAATCTGTATAGCCTATCCAAATAAACCTAGACGCACAATAACATCAACGTGATTCTAGCAAGGAAACATTGCAACCCATTCCATGGGAGAGGAGTATTTGCTAACCAATTTAATTTGTGCTTCAACTTAAAGATCCAATCTATATAAATTTGGAAATTCCATAGATTTTTCTAGATGTTTGGCAGCAAATTCGATTAACATTTCAACGAAATTGAAATTCTTCATAATAGATTTCACAGAATGCCTAGGCCTAGGGCTTGGCGTAAAATAGGAACGTACAAACCGCTCACACTCTGCTAGTGAATAAAAACAATTCAGCTGAACTGAATGAAGAATGACATGGACATACCTCTTTTGTTCTAAGAATTCATGCAGTTCGTTTCCAAATTGCTCTATATCCCATCTGGCCATGTCGACTTGCTTATACTTCTTATCGAGCTCCACTAGCATCTTCTCAAATGTCCTAGTCAGGTTAGGAGTCCTACCAACAGAAACAAAAGCAGAACAATCGAATTGTTTCTTAAGCATATCATGCACTGTTTTGGCTAGAGTAGTCTTGCCCAATCCTCCAACCCCGACTATAGACACTATCTTTAGATCTTGATCAGACGCATGAGCATCATCTTTGGCCTCAATAGATAGCATCCTTATGACTTTGTCCCTCGACTCCTCGATGCCAACCAGATCTGACTCTTTCTTGTACAGATTGCGGACACGGGGGTCGATGCCGGTGCTCGTGGCAAGATCAGCTCCCAGGCCTCTAACTGTGTACTTGGCACGGAGCCCAGCCAGCTCGTCGGAGAGTTTCTTGATGTCTTTAATCTTGTCAGAGATCTCACGGCGATGCTTGACCTTCTTCACCGCAGCGGTGGCCTTTCCAATGATCTTCTTGAAGACGTTGGCGTCGGTGGCATCAGCTGCACACTCTCCGCCGGCCACACGCAGGACAAAGTCATCGACAGCATCCTCCATGTCATAAGACAGCTCCCGGATGTGCCGTGCCCAAAGCTTTTCCACCTCAGTGAGCTGGTCCGGTGGAACCTTAGACATGTCCTCCAGGCCAGCTTTCATCGTCACAAGCTCCCTGGAGAGGGATTCGATGTCAGGCTTGAGGCCCTTCTGCACGACGTACTCCGCCATGAGCAGATCGCCCAGCTTGGGAGCCAGGCCGGCCATGGCCCCCAAAGCGAGCTCCATGGTTTAAGCTCGATCTCGGTTACACTCGCTCTCCGTTGCTCTTGCTTGCTTGGTACTCAGTAGGACATGCTAGTTGGGACTTGGGTGCAGCCGTGCAGGGCAACAAATGGCGAGATGGTGTATGGGTGCGGACTGGGGAGAGCTATTAATTATTGCCTTGGCGACTTGGCTAGCTGAGTAAGAATTTTGAAGCGCAAGCCGAGAGAGTGTGCGGAGAGAGAATGTGCTTAATTATCTTTGGTACGGACCGGAATGGAAGATGCTGGAGTCACATACAGGTGGACCCCTCGGGTGCGTATTGCTGGCCTGGCCTACTGTGGTTCGTATTATTGCGTGGGCCTGGCGGGCGACCCATCACCAAACGGGATTAATGCTCATTAATTGCTCACCTGTAACCAGCCAACGAAACCAGTGTGCGCATTCAAAGCTTGCAAGGGACCAGCAACGTGCTCGCGTTCACCTCCAGGCAACGTGCTCGCGCGTCACCTCCAGGCTCCAGCACTAGCAGTTTACTGTTTTCCTCGGTTCCTAAATAAATTTAAAATTTAAGTCAATCTTTTTCAGTGTTTAACTAATAAATATATAGAAAGAATACAAATGTTCCTGACACCAAATGAACACATTATAAAAACATTGTTTATAGTATATCTAACAGTGCTAATTTGGTGTCTTAAATCTTATCGCTCTTTTTTTATAATATAAATTCGGTTAATTTTTTTTCAAAAAAATTGACTTCAAACAATTTTACAAATTGATTTATTCAAAGAAAGAGAGAGTATCTACAAATCAGCATGACGAGGAGGAAGGAAATATCGTGCAGTGGATAAATCATCCGATAGAAGTGGTCAAATCACTCCAGTAGAGTATTTAGCTTTATCCATTCTTTTGAATTGAGTTAAATTAATCTGACACATTAGTCTCTCTCTGATGGTTACAAAAGGAATATACTTTACCATGTGATACGCAAGGCGTCATAAAGTCACCATCAAAACATTAAATGAACGATAATGATATATGACGGTCGTCCGGATAGGAACGGATGCACCACTCGCTCCCCCCGCTCTCTCGCACGCACTCACTCTCCTCCCGCTCCCCCGCAGGCATTCGCTCCCGCTCGCCCGAGCCGCTCTCCGGCCGCGCCCCAGGATGGGATGCCGCACCTGCGTGGGAGCTCGCTGCCGCCTCCGCCAAGCCGTGCTCCCTCCCTCCATCCATCCCTTCCTCACCCGCGACCTGCATGCCACCCCACGCTCACGGCGACCTCGCTCCCGCTCTCCCCACCGGAGACGAGGACGACGGCGGCGGCGGCTCCGACGAGGTAGGTCGTTCCTCCTCTTGATCTAAGCCCTCCTCCTCCTCCGGACCTGAGCGCTCCCCCTCCTCGTCCTCTGGATCTGAGCTCTCCTCCTCCTCCTCTGGATCTGGATCTGGATCTAGATCTGAGGGACGCGGCGGTGACTAGGGTTCTAGCGAGCTCTGTTGTAGTAGCCTTGTTTTGCTGTTACAACAAGTAATATTTCTTTGTTGCATTAGTCTCTTTTCTTTCTGATGCTGCATCTCGCATTGCGCATCGTTTCTATTGTTGCAGTAGTCTTGTTTTACTATTGTAACAAGTAATATTTTTTGGTTGTATTAGTCTTTTTTTTCTAATGTTGCTTTCTCGCATTGCACTTTGTTCTATTTGTTGCAGTAGCCTTGTTCTGATGTTACAACAAGTAATATTTCTTTGTTGCATTAGTCTCTTTTTTCTGATCTTACATCTTGCATTGCAGTAGCTTTGTTCTGTTGTTGCAGTTGCTTTGTTCTGATATTGCAGTAGCCTTGTTCTGATGTTGCAACAAGTAATAATGTTTTCTAAAAATGGGGTAACTAAATTAAATAAGTGTAGAATAAATGGTACTTTCGAGGTACAATTGTTGTTCATGAAGCTACACTTCTTATTGATTTTTCTATACTTATTGTCTCAATATTTTTTTGTGCAGAGATGGATCGAGAGTGGATCCATCTGTCCCGAACGGACAAGCGGTATATGCATGGCGTCAGCTAGTTTATCACCGATGCCAAAGCCCATGCTGGGAATGAGAACTCTATTTTCTGCCCATGCAAAGATTGCATGAATAAAAGGAAATGGGCCCAAATTGAGTCTGTACGAATGCACTTGATTACCAGGGGTTCATGCCAAACTATACGATATGGACCATGCATGGCGAGGTTGGTGTGAATGTTCCGCAGGAAAACGATAATGATGTGGTCATGCATGACGTAGCCATCCATGATGCTGATAAGGAACCCATTGTCAACACGGAACCTATGGCCACAATTAACGATGTGTTTAGGAACACGCTAGCTGACGACACCGAGAATAATGATGGCATTTCTTAGCAAGCAAAAGAGACAGAGAGTGAGAGAGTGTGAGAGCACTCCACTGAGTGGTCGAGCTGAGCATGGAGCTCGCCTTTGGGGCCATGGCTGGCCTGGCCCCCAAGCTGGGCGAGCTGCTCATGGCGGAAAACATCATGCAAAAGGGCCTCAAGCCCGACATAGAGTCCCTCTCCAAGGAGCTTGTGATGATGAAAGCCTCTCTGGAGGACTCGTCTCGGGTACCACCGGACCAGCTCAGTGAGGTGGAAAAGCTCTAGGCACGGTAGGTCCGGAAGCAGTCGTACGACATGGAGGACGTCGTTGATGACTTCATCCAGCGCGTGGCTAATGGTGGCAAGTCTGCAACAGCCACCAACGCCAGCGTCTTCAAGAAGATCCTTGGCAAGGCCACTGCTGCAATGAAGGTGGTCACACTACCACAGATAGGATTAGTAGGGGCGACTGGTGAGGTTTTATAGAGGCGGCTTGGCCAACCGTCGCTACCATACCGTCTCTACAAATCATGTATTTATAGGGGTGGTTTCCAGACCGCCTTTATAAATCGATTTGTAGAGGCGGCTGGTGTTATCAGCCGCCCCTACAAATCGATTTGTAGGGATGGCTGGTAATACCAGCCGCCTCTACAAAATCGATGTGTAGGTGCGGCTGTAATACCATCCATCCCTATAATACCTGTTTGTAAGGGCGGTTCAGTCTAGAACAACCCCTATAATACATTTTTTCGCCAAAAAAATTCAAATATATATATATATATGCATATATAATTCAAATATGACCAGAACATATATAATTCAAATCTGACCACAAGCACAAGAGCATTATATAAACTACCATTACAAGTCCAATTCATAAGAATATATACAATCCATCATTAAATAGACATAATTCACAAATCTAATTCGTTCCACAAGTCCAAACCATCCCACAAGGTAAGACCAATGTCAAATTCCATACACATTGTTATCAACGGCTTAGAGCTAGCCTTTCAGTCTCACAAAGGTGTTGGTACTGAGGATTTCTACCTAAGTCAGAATCTCGGTCATGGTAGGTGCCTTTGACATGTATAATCTGGTCCAATATGAAGTTGCAAAGGTCGTCGACGAGCTCTAAGAGTTGGTCATCCTTGTATGGGTCTCTTTTCATTTCTTTCTCTTCTTTCCACTATAAGAGAACAAGTTTCGGTTTAGTATTTCATATCATGTGCGAAGTTTTTATACTACAGGTGAAGAGGTTCAAACTTACCCTTAAGGGGTGTCTCCTGTAGGCACCGGTGTTACTCATAATAGAACATACATAGTATCCACAATGTACACTCCTAGGCTTCTGCTTGGGGCACTATGTAATGGAGTACTAAAGTAAGTTACACTTACCGCACATAGTATTTTTATAGCTAGCCTTTCCTTCCTTACTAGATCATGCCTTCCGTGATGTCCATTGACATAGAACATGAATGCCCTGTTCGAATTATTTTAGCAAATGCAACTTGTTAATATCCAAAAGTGAACATTACAAGTATGTATACAAACATATAAGCTAATGAGGATTGTCGATATGTATACGTCTTGAGAATCAATATGAAGTCTTTGTATGTCACTGGGTCTCTATCTATTGAATCAAAGACCCATGCCATGCTCCTCCCGACATCGACGCCTATACAAATCCAATGGTTGCTGTATGAATTTAATCATAGAACTAGATAAGCTCTTTTGCATCGAATAAAATATATCGAACAAAGCTTTAAGTATAGAGTTGAACTTACTCGAAGTTGTATGGTAGCCATATAGTAGAGTGCTGTTGGAGATTTTTAAAAGCCAGGGCAATGTATGCCGAAACCTTAAGGGACTATTGCCTTAGTTTTTTCACATGGATGTCCTCTTTCTCCTGAAGGGTCTTTCCAGTAACTAGCTCTTTGGCATCTAGTTTCCACTATCTAGGGTAATTAAAATTTGTTTGTGCTATAGCTTGAGGGTCTATATACCCAGCTTTCACACTTGACATTTGTTTTACAATGTGCACTTGCATTCTACAAATCACGGCGTGGGTTAGTTACAACAAAATCTAAAGATTACATTCATATCATATCGGGAGGGCAAGGACTTATAGGCACCATGTGCGAATTAGATTCATTTCCATTGCTCCGAGGTGAAAGCATGTCTGCATGTCATTGAAGTCAAAGATAATTTTTTCGGCTAGGCTTCCAAATGTGCCGGCGGGGAAGCATGCTTGTATGAGGTCTATGCTCATTAGGAGAACACGCAAGTATCAATCATGGAACCTTCTCATTCCAAGTGGTAGCCGCTAGATGTCCCGATTTGGTAGGAAGGGCTTGCATCTTTCATATGTTTTTGGGCAATCCTTTGACCATTTGATGGCATCAACATTTGGATACTTCTTTGCTGTTTGGTGAACTTTGCTAGTGATGGTATCCTCAGAAGCCCATGTTGGGACTTTTTTTAACTTGGTTCTCAGGCTTGAACTGGTCATGGGCATACCACTTGTGCACCGACGAGACGTCTTTCATCAGAACATAAATTAGCCTTATGGTGATTGGATGCTTCTTTTGAAGTTCCCATTTAGGCATGTCCTCATCTTTTTGTGCATCACCTTCTTCAAGAGGC